TTTTCCCTATTATTTTCCATTGCCTAATCTATGAAATTCTTTCTTATTAAATAATTAACATAGTTTTTTCCTGAAAAAGCACCCCTCTTGGGGAGGTCAGCCAATTTATGGACTTAATTTCAAGGCAATTCAAGATTCTGAAAGAGCTTTGAACAGTATGTAAATGCTGTTTGACACTGATATTTTATAATTTTGTCAAAATATTGATGTTGAATTGAGGAAGGGGATATATTACCTGCTTGAAATATAGATGACAATGATTAAATCTTGTTCATTTCATTAGACAACACTAATATTCCATTTAAAAATTGAAGTTGTAACCAGTTATAAGGCAATTTAAACCTAAAAAAAACAATTAACTGTCTCAAATTAAAATTTTCCTCTAAATAGTTGAACAACTCAACATAACTCTTAAATCATGTGTGCAAGTTGATAATCTGAATTGAATTTCGATTTGCCATGAATGGTACAATGAGAAAATGTATTGCCTTTTTTTAAAATTAACATTTAAGGAAAATTAAAACAGCTTTTCAAATTTATGCTAACAAAATTACATTAACTTAACTCGATATGATTGACAATTAACTGATTCTTGCAACATACTGTATGTTTCTTATTTCGGTTCTTTCTTTCAATCTCTCGAGAGGAAAATTTTTAAATTCTGCATCAATAAATTAGAACTGCAAGGAACTCCTAGTTAGATTCTGCTGATACAGCAATTCAGAAACAACCTGCAACGGCACTGTGATCGTGCTTGAATTTCAAATTTTCTAGCACGAACAGTTCTGTAGAAGTCTCTCCCTCTTAATGTCAGTTACGTAAATGCAATGAAGTGTGGGTTTTTTTCTGCATCAGTAAATTAGAACTACATGGAACTCCTTAAACTTCAAATTTTCTAGCATGAACAGTTCTGTAGAAGCCTCTCCCTCTTAATGCCAGTTACGTAAATGCAATGAAGTATGGGTTTAAACGAAAATCTTACCGAAAATTGCTTCGAATTGGCGGCTGGTTCGAGTTGTCTGAAATCGATTACATTATTATGTCTAGTTCGTGACTTTGCTGGCCGGCTTGTTAAAATACTTGCAGAGCAACGTTGAAAGATCAACATAACATAGATTTCTCGTTGTCAAAAAATGATCATTGTGAAAAAACAAAAACAGAATCACTAGAACCATATATTCTTAGATATTTAGGAGCTGCCGGATCTAAGAGTCTTCCATTTTCATTCTCAAATTATACAATTAGGAGTTCTTCCGCAGTACATGTTTTCCACAGGAAACATGTTTCGATTGAGGTTAAAGCTCAAAACTCTAGTTAGACTAAACATGCCTCACAGTAAAATCATACACATTAATCGTTCAATGACGCTTTAGAAAAGCTCTTACCTGCTGAAGGGTAGAAAGAAAACTGAGAGAACAAACCGGGCGATACCAAAACTTGGAACACTCAACACTCTCGACACGCACTTAAGTTTCTGGGTGTTTCCGGGTGGATAGGTTTAGAAGCGTGAGACTGGTATCAACCTTTGGATACGAAAGTGAGGCTACGAAAGTTATTCGTAGCGGATGGGAAGCGATGATACAGGGCTTTTTCTGCTGATCATTGTCTTGTTGTCAACTTATAATTCCTATTACGAATACCACCGCTCCACAAGTTTTTCTTGGCGACTGGAAAAACTGGTGGTAAAATTTCACTGTTAGGCACTAAATTATTTTTACTTATTAGGCTGTTTTCTACATACGACTGTAGCATGCTTAAACCAGGAAAAACGCTCTTCTACGAAAGATTACCGTGTTCATTTTTTTTTCATGTTGGGGGAAAAAAAAAAAATCTCGAGAAAAGAGTATCATATTTGGTAATCCAAGGCTAGGATCTCCTTCCCAAATTATGACTTAAAGCTCTAGTACAGTAAAAAAGAATGTTCCCTCAATTGATCCATTTAAACTGTTTTCAACTTTCTATATTTTCTAGGGCTTTTAAGTGGAAAAAACCTCTAGAATTCCCAAAGAAATTCCTTTTAGATATAGTGGAAAAAATCTTCTAGACCATAAATAATAATAATAATAATGAAGGCAAAATAAAACAAAGTGAAATCTAAAAGTAAAAAAAGCGGGTGTGGTTTCAGCTTCTCATACCCCAAACGGTGCATGAGAGTAAAAACACTTGAAGCGAGTGATTGGAGTCCTCCCTCATCCTTTTGTTCTGCTTTTTCTGTGGAGCAATAAAATTACAGCCAATGCCCCATCTAGTAGGTGCGAAGTGTTTGCACAGTTACCACTCATTAGAAAAGAGACCAGAATCGTTATCGCCAATAAGTCAAATTTAAATATCATTGTTACGAATGTGAGGCAGAACTTCAGAGGATGTTCAGCATTTCAAAGAATATGATCAGCCAACGGCGGTTGATTTCACAACCGTAAAGAGATCTATTTCCTTGTCATGGTCCATCCATTCTTAAGTATTCTTTCTAAGTATTGTTGCTAGTTATCATTTATCATATGAGGAACCTATAAACACAAAAGTAAAGTGTTGCAGTAGTTATGGCCTTTTGATTTAACCAGTTTACCACGAATTTCTGAAAAACACTAACAAGGACTAAATTCAGTAATGAACATTTGAAGAGCGAAGTTAAAAAAAAAATAAAGAATTAAGCACCGCTTTATAAATGTAAATACCGATTTCCTTTAGATCAACTAGTTAAAAAGGAAACAATTTAAAACTGGTTTATTTGACTTTTCAATTCATACGTAAGCTACCGGCGCGTGAAACATCAAAACAGTACATGCGCAAAAGTTACTTTCACGGAATAATGAACTTTGGCGAAGCTGCGCTCGAATTTCATTCAAAAGTTTGGTTTTGTAGTCATATAAAACGGATTTTCCAAACTTTTAAATGCAAAGAAAGCATAGGGAACACTCGACATGCTCTCTAAATATTTTATGCTGGGTTAGTTGATGAAATCTGTGAAGGCCGAGGAGTTTTAATGATTGCACGTTGGACTTCGGTGAGTCGTTGTTTGAATCAAAATTTACCCTTCAATTGTGTTCTGTGAGGGCTGAAATGTGGCTGGTTTTGGTAATTTTGAGTGAGGATTTTTGGCGGTGGTATAGACCATCACAATGATAAGAAAAATAGGTAACAGGAGTGATTTTTACTAAATCGGCTTGCTATGAATTAAGGAGTTCCTTAATGGTGGTTCAGTCGGACTCAGTGCTGAGGTAAGCGCTTCTTTCTTGCAATATGCTATCGTTTCTCCCCTCGGCCCTATAAATTTTTTTTGAAAATTTGTTTAATCTTTCTTTAACACACCAAACACTGAAAATTTCTGTGCGAAATTTGTCTCATGAAGTAAAACATGCTTCAAAATGAATCATTCAACCGTAAAATCTTGTAGGCTTACTTTGGTAACTATTTTTGTGGCCTTTTAGGAGAGCCTCATTTAAGGAATGCGAATTTATGTCAACGATTTTGTTCCTGGTCTAAGAATCATCATTATTCACTGTTCAACATTGAAATGATTTAGGTAGTTAAACTATTTGTGTGGTATATATCAAACCAATAATCAACAATTATTCGTCGAGGCGAAGTGATTATTCAACAATATTCAGAGCCCGAGGGTAATAATTGTTTTCGTATAATTGCTCAGGTGCTTTCACTTTCTGTTGAAAATTGAGTTATTGTTGAAACCACTCTGTTACAATATACACTTAATGTAGGGTCCCGAGGGAAACAAAACTAAATAGTTTCCCGAGGGACCATACCTTATGTGCTTTGTTACATATCTAGACTTTCCCTTAGACAATCGTTTCGTATTTGGCGCGCGAGCAACAACTGCGCAATTGTATCCTGGTCGGGATCCATTTCAATCTGATCAGGGGCACGTGATCAACAATCAACCAATCACAGTGCTCGTTTTGTTGAGTGAAAAGTCTAGATATATAACAATTGTTTTTATAACATAGCGCTCGCGCAAGGCCTACCTATTTTTTCTAAGGAGCTACAATGGTAAAAATCCTTATGTACTGCACGGCCCTGTATCCACATGACGTGTGTAATTTCACATCGGTTGAAAGTTCTGTTGAGTTTTGCTGCGCGGTTTCAAAACTTTCAAGATTTTTTTCCCGCTCTGTCCCGATAGAGATAGACCTTTTGGAGATCAAAATGAACTAAAAAAATGCTAAATAACACTCGTTTCGAAAAGCAATGGGCATGTTAGTTTTGGAGTTGACGATACTTTATTCCCAAACGCGATGCGAATTATGGCTGAAAACTATATTAAGCCAAATTAAGCTGTTCCTGACTTCAAATGAAGCTTTGCGACGTTGGTTAATCTTCATTAAACGGTAAATACAATTTTGAAGTGGTAATGCTTTGCGCGAAAGCCTGTGGGGATACTTTTTCGCGGACATAATCTGTTTCAAGAGTCTTGGAACAGATTCGTGATTTGATTGGCGCCAGATAAATACCATAATGAAGCGATCTGATTGATGCGAGCAACGTATACCGCTCGATACGCTAGCACAGAGTTTTTTTTTTAAAAATAACTAAAGAAGTTACGATTATGTAGACAACGCTACATAGAGTACCGTAAAGAAAATCGTAATCTATATTTCAGAAAGCCAGAAGTAACAATGAGGAGAAAACGAGTTGCATCTGAGATTGCTAACTTTCTACTGAAGTCATGGTCATCACGGTCGTTGAGGCTTTGTGATCTTTCGTCCGACTTCTGGAATCTCTAACGTTTTATCATCTATCTCCTTGACGACTGGTTGAGGCTTTGTTACCTCTGGTCCGACCTCTGGAATCTCTAATTTTTTATCATCTATCTCCTTGACGACTGGTTGAGGCCTTGTTATCTCTCGTCCGACATCTGGAATCTCTAATGTTAAATCATCTATCTCCTTGACGACTGGTTGCAGTGCTTCTGTGCTATGCCGATATCCATAAAATAAGTAGATGACAAAACCTGTATGAAAAACAAGAAGTTTATGGAGGTAAGATTAGGCTAAGGAAACTTCCACAGGGAAAATTGTGAAGAGTTTAAGGTACGTTTGCTATCACTAAGCAATCGTTGAACCATGTTCCTACCAATAACGCAGCTCCATTTCTGCATATACCAACACACACAGCCCAAAAATCCTCTATTCGCTCTGACGAAGGGCTAACGCTCGAAATGTCAGCTCTGAAACTTTTTTGCAGTGGCCAAATTACGGTAAAAACTCATTTGATAAAACTAAATTGCCCTGTTATACTCTCCCACCGACGCAGCACTACAGTTTCTTTAGAAACTCACTCCCTTTATTCATTTGACTGACTGACTGAGAAACCGACCATCCCACTGACTGACGGACTGATTGGAGGACTGATCGACTGATATACTCTCTGACTGATTGATTCACTGTCTGACTGAGGGAAGGACTGACTGACCGACTGAAGGACTGAGTGAATGACTGAAGGACTGTGTGAACGACTGACTGAGTGAAATACTGACCGACTAACTGACTGACTGATGTAAATCTTCTGACCGACTGACTCTCTTGAGAGACTGCGTGGACACGCACCTAATATCATCCAAACGCCAAAGCGAACATAGGTCATCCATTGAAGATTTGCCATCAACAGAGCATTGATGAAAATGGTTAATGCTGAAATATAAGGAACACCAGGAACCATAAACGGAAACGTCGCACAGTTCCTTGGTTGAAGCTGGATAACAAAAAGTTGAAAGACAATTGCTCCTGAAAACAGAGTGACGAGAAATATAGCCCACCATTCACCTTTTATGAACACGTCTTGATAAAAATTGCTTAAAATCAAAGCCAATGCTGCCAAAAAAATCACAAGGAAAAATACAGCTAGTTCTGCACGAAATGTTGTTGCTTCAGTGACTTCAGCCCCGGGAGCTTCTGGAAGACTGGACGTATCTTCCTCATCTGGTACTCGCTGATATGCAATGCTTGATGGATCACTTTCTTTCCCTTTAGCCTTGGAGAACATTTTATGAAGCCACTGAGTTATGTTTGTATTTCCTTCATCATTTTCAGGAACACTTTGTACTCCAGACTGAAAGCGACTGACAAGAACAGAGATGCTAACTTTTGTGTAAGCCACCAAGGTTCCAATAGAAAGGAGTTGCACCTGATAATGCAAATTGACATATGCTGATTATCAACATCAATACAGTCAAATTGAAAAATGAACTTAGAAGAGGGAACATTTTAAGCAGAGAGCGGATTTATTTATACCAATCAAAGAGGGTCCGAAGGTATAGGCAGTCTTTGGTGACTCAAAATTGCCTCTGTCTCCAACATTAAGATTTGATTTCCGAAAAAAAGGTCTCTAAATTGCCTCCAGGGCTTCAGTCTTACGGACATCGCCAATTTTTTTTTTCAGAGACCCGGTAGGAAATGTAAAGATAAACGAACAGTTCTCTTGTTCCGCCACATGCAATCTCATTTATAGATCT